ACTATGTTGCTTAGGATTATTTCCGTCATCGTTTCTCTTGTACCGTCGCCTGCCGGCCGCCGCCGCCGCCGCCGCCGCCGCCGCCGCCGCCCCCGCCTTCTGCCGGCTTCTACGCGTTTACGCGCGTGCCAGCGTTTCTCGTAAATATCGTCCGGATCGTGAACCTTTGGCGACGTCGCCGGCGGACGCGGAACGACAGTCACTTTCGTGACTATTTCACCAGAGAGAGAGAGAGAGAGAGAGAGAGATCCAAGCTCCCTTCTCCCTTGTCCCTTGCTTGCTTGAAAATGATCCGCGTGTTTATTCGCGACACGACGGAGTCGCGGCGACCTGATGAGGTACGCGAGGCGCGTCTCTCCGCGTCGAGCGCGGTGTCCGACGAAACGAGACAGCGGTGACAGCGGTGTGTCATTTCTCACGAAATTCGGAGGAAATCAGGATTGCGAGCAGCCGAGGTAATAGAAGTGTTTCCGCGAGTGTAAATTTGTCGCTCAATTATCTCATCGGATTCAAAGTTTCCGGGTACCAAGTTTTGACCGCTCGAGCGAGCGAAATTTCGATTTGCTTGCCCGACGTTGCGCGACGAGCCTCGCGGAGGCGGAAAAACGCGGACGGTGCACGTGGGGACGTTGCTCATCGAGCATGACGCGTCGGAGAAAATCGGCATCCCGGCCGGCGAGTCGCGATCGCGCGGATCGCGACCGCACTCGCGCGTGCGCGCGCATTTGCGGAAGGCGAGCTGCGTCGTGAGACGGAATCGCGAGCGCTCCGGGTAATTATAGTCCGTCCGATAGGGAAATTATGAAAGAGCCGAGAGGGAGAGGGAGACGAGCGAGAAAGCGCGGTCGTTCACGCCACTCGCGACATTTATTAGAATAATCCTAACTCTCGATGCAGCATCCGGTCGCGAGGCCCGATGCTTCTCTAATTAGCCTGCTATATCCGTAGCGCGGCCGTCGTTGTATCAAAATACGGGATGCGTTCGTCTCTCTTGCGTGTGAAACTTTGCGTCCGCACGCGCGCACCGATGGCCTCGGCTTGCCGACTTTCAGCAACGCGCGGCTCCTCGGCACGATACATGCCTGCCCGCGATTTTTCTCACTCTTCCGTTCCCGTGTCGGCGTGAAGGAAGAATCTGCAATTCCATTCCAAACACTCGAAAAATTTCCTCGTGTTTCCCGGAATGACGACAAGTTAACGAAGAACCCGAGAACGAGACTCCTCGACGAGGACGAAATCGTCGAATTTCGATGAAAGCAGAATCGGTATCCCATACCAGCATACTGAAACTCTGCGGAAATCATCGCCAGCGGCTGGGTTTGCAACTGAAGCTGCCGCTACTGCCGCGTCTAACTTTCAAACCGACCCAAGTGACACGCGAAGTGATCCGCACTCGTAGTTTCCAGCGAGTCTCGTCGGCGCGCTGCTTTTCAAAAAGCGCTCTGGTTCACGTCCGCCCGCGGACACACTTTCGCGCAAATTACGTAACGCGCGCTGATTTAGGAGCATAAACACGCGGGCGGGCGGGCGTGCGTGCGGGACCCGCGAGGAGATCGTCGGTGCATAATAACCGCGGAAAATATAAATTTACCGTAAGGAAGTAACGTGGCGTTCCGCGCCGGCGGCGGTCGGCCGCGCGAGAGTCACTTCTCTAGCTCCAGCGGGGAACGCTGCAACGGTGCAACGGATATGCGTAGGTGCAACGTGCATCTATCCGGTGTCACGGAAGGCTCGCGTCGCGCGTTAACGTGCGCGCGAGATCCTGGCGCGTCGCCAGAGCTCATCTCTAAGCGATTAAACGGCTAAATTCCCGACACCGCGCCGATCCGGCAGATTTTTTTCCGACACGCCGCTCTAGAGATTATTCGCGCGATCTTCGGCGCGAGTTTCACGCAAGCCGACTCGGGGACGGAAATGTCGCGCCTGAGAAATATCGCCGGACACATCGGTCGCGGCGATGACGCGTGCGATTAGACGCGCTCGGGTTGTCTGCACGCGTATTTCAATCGCGTATTTCTATCGGACGGAGCGGGAGATGTGTATGTAGGATACGCGAAGTACGCACAAGGCGGGGAGACGAGGTGTCTCTCTCTCTCTCTCTCTCTCTCTCTCTCTCTCTCTCTCTCTCTCTCTCTCTCTCTCTCTCTCCTTTAAAGGGTAACATCTGAGCGAAAACACCTGAAAACACAGAGTTTGGGAATTTTTTGTAGTTAAATAACAACACAGATGGAAAATTGGTTTGAAAGCCTCTAACGTGCATACCTTGAATTACGCAAAACTATTTTTTGTTATTGTTTTGCCTCAAGATCGCGGCGCTGAAGCTCTCCAAGTAAAACCGCATTTTTCTCATGGATCCCCGCGGCTTGCAGCAGAAATGCCTTTACACTTTCAAAAAGGACAAAAAGGCAAAATTTCTGTTAATCTACATTAATTAAATTTGCTAGAGAAGTACACACGTGTATGTTAAAATATTGATTTTTGTGGAAATGGTGAACATTAGGAAAAAAGTTTCAGTTTTATCCAAGAAATTCAGTGAAAAAATATTTATAATAACAAAAGTTTTAAACTACCGCTCGTAAAAATCATATGTACTTCTCTAGAGAATTTAATTTAGCCGCTACTGTAAAAGTTTCGAATGAACTACTGTAAAAGTTTCGAATTCGGATGAAATTTGTTAAAGTTCTGCTGCAAGCCAGTTCGAAAAACGTGGTTTTGCTTGGAGAGGAGCTTCAGCGCCGCTATCTTGAGGCAAAGTAATAACAAAAAATTGTTTCGTGTAGTTTAAGGTATGCACGTTAGAGGCCTTCAAACCAATTTTCCATCTATGTTGTTATTTAACTACAAAAAATTTCCAAACTTACTCTGTGTTTTCAGGCGTTCACTCAGATGTTACCTCTTAAGGGCGGTTCTTCCAACTCCTTGGTAAAGTTAACTGATACTTCAATCATATGTCTGTCTTCGTTTAAATTGAAGGAAAAACAAAGATAAACATATGATTTAACCATCAGTTAATTTACCAAGAGGTTGGAGAACAACCGGCCGTAATTCGAGAAAAACTGCGTGGCATCAGGCGAGAACGTTCTCTCGTAAACGTCGTTCAAAGCAAATCTTAGTTTATCAACACGGTAAATAAAGTAAACGCTACGACCGTTCTCATAAATACCTGGGTCGTTGCATGAAGTGTCGGGCACGCTCAGGACTCGTGGATCCTCGCAGCGATGTCTGCATTCTCCAGGACGACGTGCGCTCGCGAGGCTACCCGACGCAGAATGTTGATGTCTGAAACAGAAAAATTTATATTATAATATATAGTTAATAATAAAGCGAAAGAATATTTCTCCTCAATTTCCTCCTTCTATTTCCGTAGTATCGAAGGAATTTGCAGATATTCCGCCTCGGTAATGTTGCGTATCACTGAACGACCAAGGTATTCCGGGGCGATTTCGTTTAGAGCGCGCGCTTTTAGCGCGAAGTATATAGAGACGGCCGGAAAGCTGGTCGCGTTTGCTCACTGCCTTCCATGCCTTCCAGCAGCGGGAATTCGTAAATGTTTCAACCGCACGCTAAAATAAAGCCGGGCCAAGAGTGCGTCAGCACGTAGCTCGCCCACTGAATCATTGAGTTTTATACGCGAGCCGTCGCTATCGAGATTACAACTTGCGTGTATGTGTGTGCGAAGACGCGTCGCTTCGCGTTAAACTATCTCCATTTGGACAAATATATCCAAGCCTGTATTAAATTTCATACTAATCTCGAGCAGATGATCGTAGAACAACGAGGAACACCGCGAAGGAAATCAATCGGGCAATGTCGATCGAACGAAATTGTTCGTCGCACTCTTGACACCCTAGAAATCATTTGCAGTAACGATTGATGAGTGCAATTTGTCGCAGCGAGCGATAATCCGCACGGATATCTTTGGTTCGATGACACAATCTCAAATTATACTCCGTACGAGAGGCAAACCAGGATGCCTCGAATCTTTTCATCGCCAACGGCATTTTTTTCCTAACGCCCGAAAGTCTCTCCCGCGAGGTTATCGAAATTATACATTATTACATTTACGGGAATATATCGAGTATGTTATATAAAAGACATATCTTTTAAGATGTATTGTGCACCGAGAATCCCCCCAGACATCGCGTGACGAAGAAAATTTCGCTCATCATAAATACATCATTCAACTCGTGAACGTAAAAAGAAAGAGAGAGAGAGAGAGAGAGAGAGAGAGAGAGAGAGAGAGAGAGAGAGAGAGAGAGAGAGAGAGAGAGAGCGAGAGAGAGAGAGAGAGAGAGAGAGAGAGAGAGAGGGAGAGCGAGAGAGCGAGAGAGAGAGAGAGAGAGAGAGAGAGAGAGAGAGAGAGAGAGAGAGAGAGAGAGAGAGAGGGTTGAGAAGGAAGGATGATACAGGTTACTTCTTATTATAAGGTATTTCAGTCTATACAAGTACCTGACACCACATTCCATTACTTAATCGCAGTGAACCCTCGTCTCGACATTTATAGATATGTTCCATCGATTACTCGTTACCTCACACAAATATTCTTTCAGCGTCGACCTTTCGCCCCTTCGCGATTCTCCTCGATCTTCGGTTAACTTAAATTTAAATTTTTCCTAATGGCGCATCCAGAAGCGCTTGTTCGTTTTACTTGCACCTTCTGCACTTCTGTCAGTATTCGCCTCGCCTCTTCCAGTTTCCTCGAATACACATTCCTTCCATTTTGTACGCGGAAACATTGCGACTCACGGACGATTAAAACGAACAGCTGCGAGATCTTACGAGGGCGATGAAGACGAGAGAAATCCCCAAGATCCCGTGCTCCCTTTTCCGGAAGTCCGTTTCTCGATGGAAAGCAAAAGTTCGCGACGAGCGTCGACCAATGGCGGACGCGGCGAGCGCGCCCGCAGCGCCACCTGCGACGTCTTCTTCCGGCATCTTGCGGAATTGCACAGTAGTAGCCAGCAGCAGCAACAGCGTCGTCGTAGTCGTCGTCGTCGTCGTAAGACTCGATCGCGCGCAGTAGCGGTGTTTATTTACGTTCGTCGTCATCAGTGTCGCGACTAATTAATTGCGCGTATCGGCGCGTACGCGCGTAAATCGAGCTCGACGCAATCGCGCACGCGAGTGCACGACGCGACGGCGGGAAGAAGAAGCGTGACGGGCGAAGAGCGAGCAGAGTCGGTTAAAACACGAACACGCGCCATCGCGTCGCATCATCGTTCGTCGCCATCACCGTCGTCATCATCATCATCATCATCGTCGTCGTCGTCGTCGTCGTCGTCGTCGTCGTCGTCGTCGTTAACGTCGACTACTACGTTCTAACCTCATCGAATCTGAGCGCCCATCGGGCCCGCACGGCATCGCCGTGTGCGTCACGTTCGTTCCTGAATGCGCTGTCAATGCACGGCCGTTCGGCAAGATGCCGTATTCACGATAAATCTGGACAACTGCGAGACACCTAACATGACCGACGACACACTGCCGGCGAGCCTGCAGAGGCTTCACATTGATCGTCTGTCGACGAGTTGTCCGCAGTAAGCATCGTTCCCGCTCTCGGTCTCCTCTCGGAGCGGGGACTTTGAAACGATGTGCCATCTTCGTCGAGAACCTGTCAGTGGCGAGCGAGGATCTCGCGTGTTAACGTCTGTCCTCGTCATCAGCCAGACGGAACGACCGACGGAAGAACCGTCGTTTCTGTCGTTCGGGGTTCTCGACGAAGTCACGGCGGTTTCTCCACTTGAAGAAGGCAAGTCGTGTGGAAATGAGCTTGTTGAGTAGTGTCAAGTAGATTGTGATTACCATATGAGAATATTCGCGAGTTTCGTCGGTAACTTAGAAACTACAGCGAGTAGCCTTAGTAAATAAACTACTTTAGATGATGCAATAGCGATTGCAATAACTTCATCAGCAATAAAATGTACATTCGGTCAAGAGTATGACACTGTATAATAATTAACAAAGAGTCTTGTGTAGAATAGCGATTGCGTTTGTAAAGAGAATCGTACAGCAAATACAGTCAGATATACGAGTGTGTGCCCGCTAGGCCAGTAATCACAATCTGTTCTTATATACAAGATTGTCTCAAGTTCATCTTCAGATGTACGGATCACTTCACTATAGAGAGCATCTGAAAATAGACCTAAGACGATCTTAACTGTAAGAACAAACTGTGATACTTGGTATGCATTTGTGCACCAATTCAAATTTGCGAACAGATCATTTTAGAAACAGCTTAAAGATGTCAACATAAAAGCAAGCTCAATAATTCAAAATGCTTACCTATTAATACGCTTAGAATCCACGAGTAATTTCAGAGCAGATTCAATATCTTTAAATCTGCATCCGGAACCCTGCTCTGCTGAAATAACGTCGCACTCTTTCAGCATCGCAACGACAGATAAGCCGAAGACGCCCAACCCGTTCCGGACGCTCAGCAGAATGTACACGAGCGCCAGCGACAACAGCTGGTTGTTCCGCAGAAGGTCCATGCCCAACAGGCCTACCGTGTTCGCGGCGAATCCGCGTGGCATCAAGAGTACAACGAACTTCAAGCCGTCTAAGAGCGAGAGAGTAGCGGTGGAGAAGAGCAAACGGGGTGCCGTCCTGCGCGAAGCTATACTGAAGTTGAACGCCCCCGGCGCCGGCTGCCTTAGTGATAACTTAGTGGACACGCTCAAGAACTCGTGTAAGTTCAGTATTTCCAGTAAGAGTTCCAAGAGAATCGAGTCCGAGCCGACGACGAAGGACCTCAAGGAGCTGGAGATGCGTCGGGATTGCAGACAGACCAAGGACGACACCAGTATTCAGGACGACGACTACGAAGCTAGTGGCTATCAGCGCACCCGCAGCAACACGATGCCGAGCCTGAAGAGAGGCCCCGGACCGGGCGGAGGTCAAGCTTCCTCCACGAGCAGCGGACAAACGGACGCGGCTGGCTCATCCGGTGGCCAACCTTCGAGTACGAACACTTGTTCGGTGCAGGCGCGAATATCGCCACCCTCGTGCGACATCACGATCGGAGAGCTCGCCAGCTACTTCGAGGAGTTCGTCCATATTCCAAAGAAGATGTCGCACATGGCGGAGATGATGTACACTTAATTGTAAAGTATATACACACACACACAAACACACACACACACACATATATATATATATACATATACATAACTCTCTCAAATCGCAAACTCATCTTTCAGAACACAGTTGCCGTGGGCTGTGTGTATATAAAATCTAATCTCTCCGATCATAATAACGATACCGTAAGCAGGCGGGCATGCGACTGCTCGCATGTGTGCGTGCATTTGTTCGTTTGTCTTTCTTCTTTCTTTCTTTCTTTTCTTCCTTTCGTTCGGTCGTTCGTTCGTTTGTTCGCTCACTCATTCACTCACGCACTCACTCATTCACTCACTCATTCACTCGCTCGCTCGTTACGTGCTTGATTTAATCCTCTAAATTATTTCTCCCAACACACGCGGTAATCGAAGACAAAACAAAAGGGGAGCACGTGGTTGGTACTTCCGCTGATTGTACGGCACTCGAAATTGACGTTGTCTCGCACGAAAATTTTGAGAACGTAATGAAGCGGCGAATACACCTTCTACAGTTTCTGTCAAATCTCCTTACTTTCTCTTTTACATCTCTTGTGCACGACTTTACTTGTTGTAGCCTACGAAATATAGAAAATATGGAGCGTCTTTGTATTTGAAAACTTTTGTATTACGATAGGAGTAAATCGGGCTTAGAATAAATCAGTGAATGAGACGAAATTTGGATCTGTGTACCTTGTATGACTGTGTCTGAGCGTCCCACGCGCCCGTTAGGCACTTTTCACTTGTACACACATACACGCGCGTTCAACGCGTCTGCGAAACGCGCGTGCCGCTTCATGCCTCGAGACATGTCGAACGCCCCAAAATTCAGTGAGAAAGAAATTCGCCACTTTCCGTTCGCCAGGGACCGGAGTTGAAGTCTGCGACACGTTAATATGATACATAATATATTGATCTGCATAGGCTTACGACAATTAATATAATAATAATAATTAATAATAATAATAATAATAATAATAATCATACAAAGTAATCGTGTTAAGTTACTTAATGATAATAAGCTTTGGTATATAAACAATGACAACAGCGTATCGATCGTTTTTCGCTTTAGGTACGAATGAGAACACGCATCGACGCGCGCGGATGTGTATGTGTGTGTTTTTATATATATATATATATATATATATATATATATCTATGCATGTATGTATGCATGCGTGTACGTATGTAACGTACGCACGGCTGAAGAAAACCCGAACGAAAGAGCCGAAGGTAGGGCAAAAAGGCGCAAGGGAACTCGGCTTGGGGAGCGGGCGGGGACGCGTACGAGAAAATAGTCGCGACTATTTGGTGTGCGCATCACGTCGGATGAATCGGTTCTTGCGAAACGACTTTCTTGATAGAAGCCGATCGCGGCTACCCGTCCGTCGTCGTCCTCGGTGACGTTGCACGTGCACGCGCGACGGTGCTCCCGCGGGCGGCGATTGCCGCGCGTGCGAGTGACGTTCGCTGGGTGTGTGTGTGTGTGTGTGTATCAAAAAAACGCGTAAGGTCTGTCCCTATATCACAGATTTACCGAGAATTTCATTCGAGCGAACGTCGCGATAGCCGCGCACCGCGAGAGCACCGCGACGACGACGACGACGACGACGACGACAACGACGGGCTGAGATGATTCGAGCGCCAAACCGCCGGCGATCGGCGCGTGTAAATAGCGCGCGATGTAAGGTTCTCTCTGTCGTTCTTTTTTTCTTTCTTTCTAAGTACGTTTTACAATTCGTGCGAATTCGCGCTGATCTCGCCCTTGGGTCGCCGTGAATTCAAACGTCGTCATTCGCAAAGGAAAAGCGGCGGGAACACGATACGTCCGAGAGAGAGACTGCAACTACCTTTAGCGCGAAGATCGCGTTCTTTTGATCGTTTCACCTGGCCTTTCGATTACGCGCGCCGACGCAAATGTTGACACACGTAGAAACCCCGATCGTAGGAGCGAGTAAGGAACACGTCGCGACGCGCTTGGGATGATTAATGAGGGAACGTATACGCTTGTCTTTCTCGTCGCGCGTGACAATAGTCGAGATGTCTCTGCGCGACTGTGCTCAGTCGAGATCAAAGTGAAGAAGAAGAAAGATTTCGCGCGAGGTCGCGGCGAATAATCGGACGCACGGTTCCCCCGGCTGTGATACGTACGTTCGAGAGCACAGCGCGCGCGCGCGTGGGCTTTATTTAAACGATATATCAGTCTCTAGATTCAGTGGAGAAAGGCCGGTGACGCCTTTACCGCGATAATTTGTAAATACATGGTCCAAATGTGATCCGAATGAAACAATCTACGCGAAGATAATACCACATAACGCGAACGCTTCGGGTCGCTCGAACTCGGCGTTTTCACCCTGAGCAACAGAAAAGCCCCGGGGAGACATCGGGAACTCTGGAAAGATTCGACAGAGACGCCGTCTGAAGCAGCTCGTCTCTCGAGCCTTTCGACGCATCTCGTCGCACGTCGGACGTCGTAAAAACGAGATCGAGAGGCGCGTCCGACAGAGATTCTCTTCATTTCCTTCGGATATCCTTCGAGCGGCACAACAACGCCCTTGAGATGTTTTACAGCCTCCCAAGGGACCTTTCGGCCCCTCAGATCTGCTTCGTCGAGACACCCGAAGGAAGCCGCAGTCCCGCAGACATCCAAGCGCCCGTAAGTTCGTCGACGACGACGTCTCTCGGGGCGTTTCTGCCGGCCAGTCGTCGTTCGATCCGGTCAATCTTACATTGGTTCGACCTCTACGTATTTCTAAACTACGACCTACGGCAGCGATCATGATCGTCAAAACAAGTTCATTGGTACAAAACGCTCATAGAAAAAATGTACTGGACGTAATATATCTACTCCCTAAACGCTACGCAAACACGAACGCCTTTTCACGCGCGCTGCCCCGCGCAAGTAACGTGCAACTTTTTCTGCCTCTCGCCAGAGAGATGCTCCGAGATCCACATTTCGGAGTCTCGTAAAGCTTAACAAAAAAATATAAGTTATTCAGGATTTTCTTTTTCTCTCTCTCTCTCTCTCTCTCTCTTGTCAAATGGTCGCATAGATCTCGACGGATTTATGCGAACGGCGAATGCCAAATCCGAGATGCGCTCGGGGTACATCCCGGGAATTAAGGCGTCTGATAAGACGCTTTCACAATGCTTCCCGAGGGACGCTCGCGTCTCGTAGAGATCGGCGAATTGTCGAGCGTCGCGACGCGTTATCGCGTCGCGACATTCTCGCGCGCGTGAAAAGACGATCGCGCTGACACGGATGTAACAATTTCCTACGCTCGCATACGCACAACGCACTCGTCCACTGCTTCCACACTTTTAATCGCTAATAGCTATCGTATCGTAATGGCTCATCGTGTTTTATCGTGACACAGTAAAATGTATACATTGAGAATCGATCGCACCGACGCTCTTGGCTCTCATCGACTCCGGTCAACGATCTTTTGTTCCCTTTTCCTTTTTTTTCTTTTTTTTTTTTTCTTAAACTATCCCAACGAGATGCACAGACGGAGAGACGGAAGAGGAGAAGTCGATCGACCGTTGTATCGAGCGGACTTTCGAGGCGGCGGTATCTCGGAATATTTTATAACATTGCGCATTCTTACAGCCTCTCACTCTAAGCCAACGAGATACCCAACGCTACCCCCCTGAGATCGTGATTTTTCTCGTAACGCTAATAGAGGGAAAAGATTAATCGCTGTCAACCGCGCACGATTGCGTTGCAGCAGTCGAGCCAGATGATTGCGCCAACAGTCCGAGTTGAGTAATTCCGGTTAACGATTCGCTCTCCCTTATTAGCGGGGGAGTGAAGATGACGATATCCCGAGCGACACTGGTCGCTCGTTGGAGCGGCCGACACAACGATTACTTTCGGCGTGATCAGTAAGTTGAACGTTTTTACAATATCCATCGCTCTCCCTCTCAAGTATTCACGGTCAAGTATTACAATTTGTCTTGTGTATCGAAATGTGGATCACCCACTCGACCCACGTTTCTCACGCTTTCCTCTTGTCAAGACAGCGCTGACCGGAGCCGGCGCTGACCGACGTCGGTGCCACCGCTTCAATCCCGGGTCTCGCGCGCTTGACACGTCCCGCGGGGACGACGGCGACAAGGTTGAGTCCTGGGCAATCGGACGCGCAGGATCGCGAGATTCTCGACGGTTCTCGAGCCGCCCAGGAGAGCACGGAGTCGCCGATCGTGCCGGCGAGATTCCTCGACGCCTATCACCTAAGGATCCCTATATTCTAATCTGTCGTTTGTATTCTCCTTCCTCTTTCTTTTTTAAGTAGAAAATTTACAATTCTTCAGACACTTTGTACGAGTAACATCGATGACTTAAGTTTATCCGAAATTGCATTCCCGACTTTTTCTCACCCCCTCTCGTGTACGTACGTAAAACCATGTCGCATCGGTCTACATCGCGACGCGGGCTCGGGGACACACACTCTCTCTCTCTCTCTCTCTCTCTTGTTCCTCTTATCTCTCTCTTCCGCAAACGCACTCTCACACACTCGCACTTATCCTGATACTAATAACTCTCTATCTCTTTCTCCGTTATTTCCGACTCTCGACTTTCTACGCTTTCCCTCTCTCTCTTCTATCTTAAATCTTATACCCTCCTTCTCTTTCTCCTCTCCTCTCAATAAAACCCGACAGCTCGTTTCCGAAAAAAAAAAAAAAAGAAAAAAGAGCGTCGCGATTCGCAACGAAGCTGCACAACGACCTGCGAAATGAAAGCGACGCGAATTTGTGCGAGGTATTCTCACTGCGTTTCCGCAGGATGTCTGCTCGGAGGCGCTGTTGTATCGCGCGCGTACAGCAATTTGTATGCATTAGAAACGCCGATCACGTTAAACGCATCTCTGTGTGCGATCGAGCGCGGCAACAGAACGCCAAGTGAACAAAACGATCGAACAGTTGAAAGCTTAACCGCGACCGCGCGCCGGCTGAAGTCGAGAGTTCGCGTTGGATCGGCGAGAAGAAAGGCGGTTCGCGGAGAACGAAACTGCCAAATGGACGCACGAGTAGCCATTGTCTTCTCCCGACGAAACTTGCTTCACTCCTGCCGGAGTCGCGATCGCATCTTGTGCCCGTGCGCGTGCGTTTTACAACCGAAACGAAGTTATTATTGCATGGCAATAACGGGCAAAGCGCACGTAAAAGAAAAGGGAAAAAAAGAGGAGACTCGTACACGTACACGTACACGCGACTCACGCACGACGACGGGGGAGAATGAAATGCACGCCGAGCGAGAGCGGCGATAACATCGTACTCGAGGATGAGCTTCTTCTCGACGCAGCTCGTGCGCGCCAACCTTACGCTCGGGGATACCAACGTCTTCCCGCGTCGCGCTCAAGCTCTCCTCTTCTCTCCTCTCGGCGAACGAGTTACGAAAAGAAGCATCGATACTCGTCACAAATGATTCTTACACACCTGTCGGAGCACGCCCAGCCCTCCCGCTTCGCAATTTACGTACGTCGTGAAAGCATTCGCGAACGCGGTACGCACGCGGTACCGTTTGTCTTTCGGCGCGTTTCTCTTTCTCTCTCTTCGTTCCGAGGACTATATCCAAAACTTGGATTTTAGGAAAATTCGGATGTGACCGATCCGAGATCAATTGAGAGACGCAAAAATGCAACATACTCTTGTGGGAACACACACGCGTCCACTAGTACGCATACTTGTTTTCTTTCTTTCTTTCTTTCTCTCTCTCTCTCTCTCTCTCTCTCTCTCTCTCTCTCTCTCTCTCTCGCGCGCGCACACACAATACACTCATTCACTCACTCACTCACTTACTTACTTTCTCTCCCGCTTTCGCACTACGTGTATCTCGTAAACATACGCTAACATACTAATACACCATTATGTTGTATATAATCTATATAATTTCCAATTTTTCTCATCTTCCAACTTATTATATCCCGTTTACTCTCTAATACCGTGACTTGTTTGTCCCTAAATTTACCAACATCGCTAGTGTCTTTATTAGTTGTTTGTCGTCAAAAGTATGAAAACGCGCTTGGGTAGTCGCGGAGGAGGACGGGGACGCGGGGGCGAGGATGGGGGGGGGCAGGGCAGTAAGGGCGAGAAAAACGCGACTCGCCGATGAATAATACGCGCGATCCTCGATCGCGGATAGTTTTCTCTTCTAGCTCGATTGCTACATGTTCATTAATGATTAACGCACAATTGATTGATTGGTCATGAGGATTAAAATCTCGTCAACGTTCTCGCGAGGAGTTTTACGTTACGTTTTACAAAAAATAAAAAGAAAACAGAAACATCATAGCACACTCAACTTCCGATCCGAGTTTCGGTGCTATACGCAAAACATTAAGAACACACACACACAGGCGAAGGGATGGATGGGTGAGGAGAGTGGGCGGAGGGGGAAGAGAGTTCGTGGTGTTGTTTCTTTTTTATTTCGTTTGGTTTCTTCCGTAAAGAGATTGGTCGCCAAAACTTGTAGAAAAATTTCGCGATCGAAAAAACGCCGACGCAACGAGTCGGCAAAGTACACGAGTTGTTCGAGTCTCTATCTCTCTCTTTCTTTCTTTTCGAAGTCTTTTCCCCGCGCGAAAGCGGTGCATCCACAGTTCCGCGAAGGTTCCGATGAGGGCGGCGAGATGCGCGCACGCGCGCGCGCGCGCGCGCTAATAATTTACTTAGCAGTAAATACCATAAAATTCCATGGCACAGTTGATGTGGGCTGGGTGAAAGTGACGGTGCGGCGGCAGGTGGCTTTGCATATGGGCTGTATATCAGTCCGTCGGCGGTTCGAGATACGGTATTTCGCTAGTTACATTGAACGACTCGAAATAGTGATTCAGGAACTCGAACGTGGGTCGCTTCTCGGGGCTGGCGTCCCAGCACTGTAGCATCAACCGGTAAATGCTGTCGGGCAGCGGATGATTCAACGGTTTCGGCATGCGGTAGCCTTTGTCCACTTGCTCGATCACTTCGCGACCATGCATACCTGGCAAAGGAAAGAGATCGGTCAACACCCCCGAAAGTGTCGTTAATCGTACACGTGAATGATGAACACGCGCGCGTGACGACTCTTCACGCTCACTCTCATGCGCCGAAACAACGAAAAGATAAGCCGCGGACTCACCCGGATAAGGAACTTGTCCGTAAGTGAAGAGTTCCATCAGCAGGATCCCGTACGACCAGACGTCGCTCTTGATGCTGAACCTACCGTAGACAATCGCCTCTGGCGCGGTCCACTTGACGGGGAACCTGCTGCCCTGCTTCGGACAGTACTCGTCGTCCTCGATCACCCTGGCGAGGCCAAAGTCGCAGATCTTCGCCTTGTTCTTCTCGCCGATCAGCACGTTCCTCGCCGCCAGGTCCCTGTGTATGAGCTGCTTGCTCTCGAGATGCTCCATACCGGACGCCACCTGGGCCGCGATGTAGATCAGGTCCTCGAACTGCATGTACTTGCCGTCTCCAGTGCGCAGGAAATCCAGCAGGCTACCGTTGCACATGTACTCCTGCACGATGTAGATGGGCTCCTCCTTCGAGCAGACCGCGTAAAGCGCGACCAGGTGCCTGTGCCGGAACTGCTTCATGATCGCCGCCTCCTGCAGGAACGCCTCGGTCGACATGGTCCCGGGACGCAGTGTCTTCACCGCCACCTCGGTCTTGTTCCGCCACTTGCCGTAATACACCTCGCCGAAATTGCCGTGACCGAGTTTCCGGATAAGCTGGATCTCGTTCCGGTTGATCTCCCACTTGTCGCGTAACTCCGGCCCGAGATCCCACATGTCTGGCTGTGGCTTCGGGCAAGGCTTCGACAGCACGTGGCAGAGGCCCAGCGCGTTTTCTGCGTGACACAGTCATTACTCATTCGTCAATGCAGAAAGCACACGCTGTCGCGTGAATCGCGTTTCAGTATTCTCTTTGACATTACTAATTCAAGAGGAAGAGGAGTACAAAGGCGAGAAAACGAAACACGCGACGAGACAGAGGAACGTCGAGACGTGAAAAAAACATCGAGAGACAAGGCAACTTACTGCTGTATGCCATCACGAGAGCCGGCAAGCTGGGGAACGTCTGATTGGTGGCGATGAAGAAGCCGCCGTTGTCGAGCGGCTTAATCTTGTAATGTTTCACATGATGGCCCCTGCCTTCCTCCCAGTCCTTCACCGACAGGCTGTAACCCCTGGGATTGTGTTCGCTGGGTCTGACCAAGAAGGTACCACGAGGATTTTCATCGACCAGGAGCAGCGTGCCCGCCTCCTTGCGCGATACATTCTCGAAGAACCAACTGCGAAGAGAGAGAGAGAGAGAGAGAAAGGGGAGGAGGTGAGAAAACGCAATAATCGCTGTGACTCGGACGTAACAATAGACGGGCGATGCTCACTCTTCGCTCTCGATCGAACGCTCGACAGCCACGAAGTTCCAAGGGATCAGGCCTTCCTGCAGGGTCGTTAAGTGCAGCACTCTCCACCAGTCCGGCTCGGAGTCGTCCAGGACCTCCATTCGGTCGCCTTTCATGAAACTAACGTCGGTACTTTCCCGCGCTGTGTAATTGTACAGGGCCACCACGATCTTGTTGGACCTTTGTGAATGCGCTGTCGGGGAAGAAGCGACGCGTGTAGTCTTATCGGACCCTGTCGGGTCGTACTCGAAAGCAGAGCAAAGCCGAGCACCGAACCGGTTAAAATTGATTTCACTCCGGAGGACTCGCGCCACGCGGAGTTAACCGAACGAGAGACGGACACCCGTCGAATTGCGCTGATGGAAGAGAAAAAGGAACAAACGCGAGAAAATATACCGTCTCTATTTTCGTATCTGCGCATGGGTTTACACTTCTAATCGTAAAAAGAATGGACAAAATTGGGGCCCGGTATAGTCTCGAGAAGCTCGTGTTTCGACGCTACGAGAAGCGAGCTCGTTATACGCCGAAATCATTATGCCGGACATCGTATTTTTTCTTCCTCTCGTTTTTTTTTTTCCCTCTTTTTTTCATTAACACGGCCGGATCGTTTGCGCATCGCGGAACGATCTCGGCTAAAATTAACCGGTTCGGTTTCTCTGGGAGAGAGAGACATTCACAGAAACAAGTCGAGGCGGGATGACGACGACGACGACGACGACGACGACGAGGATAACGACGTCGACGCTGCTGCGAGCGATATCACAACATATAAAAGTAAAATTGGACCACTTGCGATCATCGCTCAGACGCGCGGTCGGCTCTATAAAGGCAAAACATAAGAAGAGTAAAAACATAAAATACACACATGCAGACGTAATAGGCGGACTCGTTTTACGGGGTTGATGCGGTATCTGTAGCTTACAGGGTGTCTGCCTCGGCCGGATAATATCCGCCCGGGCTTGCACGCCTCTCTGATTCGGGTCGGCAGTGTATCGGTCCAAGGAACCTCCATTGCTGTGCTTTGAACTCAGTCCCGTGTCCGCCTTCTTATAACCTGGACCGAGAATCCGTCTTTAAGTCAAAGGGAACAGCGCGACGGCTCGGCGAGAGAAGAACATTCTCGCGCTTCTCCACGTCGAGCGCCGGGGGAATCTCGAAACTATCAAGTTCTCTCTCTCCCTCTCTCCCTCTCCCTCTCTCTCTCTCTCTCTCTCTCTCCCTCTCTCGGTTATTTATACACTGTGTGCGCGATCCGAGATCATCATTTTTGTGGAAAATTCGAGCCGGAACTCGACCGAGTGCGCGCGCGCGCGCGAGAGTCTTTAAATTTAAGATAAATAAATTTGAAATAAAATCGAAAAGAAAGAGAGAGAGAGAAAGAGAGAGAGAGAGAAAGAGAGAGAGAGAGAGAGAGAGAGAGAAAGAGGGAGGAGGGATAACGAGGGAGAACGAAAAGAGAGATTCGTGCTGAATTGATTCACGACGGAAGCATTATCTGTCCGATCAAACAATGCGATTGTTATTTTTCCTCGCTCTTCCAGCTCTATCCAAATTAAATGCTCGCCTATGTAATTAATCGCGAGAAGCGAACGCATTCGTTGCTGTCGTGACCTAAAATCCAAGCCCAAACTGACGTTACGTTTCCGATGAAATTTTCAGTAATAACGGGGCGGTCTATTTAGCCACACGAGCGATTCAAGACTACATTGTACAAATCCATTATACCACGCGAACAACGAGAAAGAAAGAGAGAAGGGGGACAGAGGGAGAGGGACGGGGAGAAAAATTGAAGAAGATTCCAACAATCGACTATCTACGGGTCGTTGCGCCGAAATCGATCGGTCTCGATCTCGCCGAGGAGGTTTCCTTTCAGAAGATCCAACCGATCCCCTCCGAGTCAGTCACTTACCGATCGGTTGAGGCTCTTGCCGCTTGCTGCAACACTTCCCCATGCTGGATCCGGTTCCTGTAGCTCTGCGCGCCGGCCGAGTCCTACGCACCCTTTATCCTGGATCCATTCGCGGGGCAAGCGAGACTCGTCATCTTGCGAAACTCGGCTCGGACGACCGGCGGTCCGCCGACGAGATGTATCGCGTTCAACGAACTCTCAAACTCTCGCTTGGCTGTCCATCGTCGGATTATCGAACTCGTTGCCGTTGCCGTTGCCGTTGCCGGCGCGTCGCTGCTGCTGCTGCTGCTGCTGCTGCTGCTGCTGCTGCAATATAAGGCGGACGAGGTCCGTCGTGATTATCTCACCTCCCGCGATTATCTCTGGCGATTCTAAAGAGCGCGAGGCTTATGCGCCGAGGATTATCGCGACAATGCGCGCGAGGATGCAGCGTCACGGCGAGCAAGGCGGCCCTCCTCGCTCGCGCGGACATCGCAATCCCTCGACAGCGGAAGGTGTCGTCACGCTCCGGCGGAGCCGACGACGCGATCGTGAAGTCATCGAAGTCACCGTGTGCGCGAACTTACTAACACGCACTGCAATCGTCAATCTCGCGATCGTCGCTTCCTCTCGCTTCCTCGCCTTTCTCGCGTCTATAAGCCGAGAGGAACGAGATCGCGAGCAGGTCCGATCGTTTTACCTGCCGAACTCTGATCGACCGGAAAAGCAGCGCGTTTCGATGCGGCTGACTAATTTGGACGAACGTGGGTAATGAGATGTCGCTGATATTTAGCGACTCGAGAACGCGCAAACCGCGGCGGGGAAGAACGTCCCGGTTGAGTCCCTCCGCGAAGGGCGGGGACCAGCACACGACTCTCGACACGAACGACACGGTCGTCCTGTTTAAGGGGGGAATTACATGCAGAGCAGCCGATTTTCAAGGTAATTTTTACTAATTTCTTTGACAGAAAGAAGGTAGGGTCAATGGACTGGGAATTTTCACAGTGTGTATTCATTAATGTTCAAAATATACAATAAATTTGCTACTATCTGCATGAAAAGCACACATAAAACTTTAAACGCGTTTATTTGGATTTTCATCATTTTCTTAAACTGTCAGCACGATTACGCAAAAACTACTGAAGCGAGTAACTTGAAAGTTTTACACAATATATACACAGTAGACGTGTAATTCTCCGCCCCTTCCTCGAACACAGTTACATTTTATTTTATTCATTTTTTTTAAACATGATTACAAGTTGAAAAATTCATTTTCGATACTTTTTTTTTCAGTTACAGTAATTATTTCTCCAAACTTGGCTTCAGTGCCTTCTTCGTTTTAGTGCAGGCTATAATAGCAACCGTATATTTAAAAAATCTTTCTCACTTCTTTTTGGTTTCAGAGTAATGAGGGGCCCGGAATTACGCCAACAGCAAATATAGAACTGTCGCGAGCGACATTTTTATCTATAATTACAAATTTTTAATCGGTTCTTGCGATTCGATAAAATTTATTTTGTACTTTGAACATTGATGAATACACTGCGAAGATTTCAAATCCACTGATCCTACCGTTTCTGCTAAAGAAATTCGTAAAAATACGTCTTGAAAACGGCCTTTCGCATGTAATCCCCCCTCCCCTCCTCCCTAACGAATGCGCCCGTTAGCTGTGTACGCGGCCAAGGAACAGTCGCGCGAAGGGTCGATCTGGAGATGTGGGTCGGGCCAACCCCTGTGCCGAAAGCGTGGCGTACGACTATACGGTCGCTCTCGTTCGATCGCTAGAGCCTGACTATAAGATCGAGCGAGAGAGAGAGATAGCGAGAGAGAGAGAGAGAGAGAGATAGCGAGAGAGAGAGAGAGAGAGAGAGAGAGAGAGAGAGAGAGAGAGAGAGAGAGAGATAGCGAGAGAGAGAGAGAGAGAGAGAGAGAGCGAGAGAGAGAGAGAGAGAGAGAGAGAGAGAGAGAGAGAGAGAGAGAGAAGAGAGAGAGAGAGAAGAGAGAGAAGAGAGAGAGAGAGAGAGAGAGAGAGAGAGAGATAGCGGAGAGAGAGAGAGAGATAGCGAGAGAGAGAGAGAGATAGCGAGAGAGAGAGAGAGAGAGAGAGAGAGAGAGAGAGAGAGAGAGAGAGAGAGAGAGAGAGAGAGAGAGAAGAGAGAGAGAGAGAGAGAGAGAGAGAGAGCAGAGGACTATACAGCCGTACACACACGATCGCCGGCCACCATGCTCAAGTGCACATGTGTGTGTGCGCGTGCAACGACGGGAATACATACGGGTGGTGAGAAACGGTCGATATCCCAGCGCGTATTCGTACGCGCCATCCACGACGATACACTCGCCATCCGAGGTAGGGCTCTTACGCGACGAACAATGCGCTGCCGCGCGGACAAAGACGCATTAACGTGAGCGTCGTCGTCAGGACGAAACGTCCCGATCCGCGCCGCGCCGCCGTTGGCACACGTAAGGAGCCGTTAAGTTTCGACGGGAGATCGGGAGAACTGGGAGGGAGCGACTCGAGTTGGAAAGCTATAATTCGGAACAATGGGGTGGCTCTCTCGACTTGGACTCGCGGCTCTGCACCACCGGCAATGTTCGCGGTGCCGGGCTTTATGCTCTAAAGAGGGACGGCGGGCGAAATGTGCCGAATAAGGCTCGCTTGATTACAAGCCTAACGTGGGCTTTGGTTGACGCGGCGGGTTTATTTACAGTCGGACGTTGAACGTTTCATGCTGTGAGTGCTGGGAGCGGCCGGTTTTTCGTTTAGGGGTGAGCTGCGGATCGGTCTCGAGGGACCTCGCTCCAAGAGCCGTTCGTTAAAGTTGCACCTAACGTCCCGTGAAATATTGTCATCGTCGTTACAATCGACATTAGATACACTCGGAATCAATACATTTACAAATATACACAATGTTAAATTGTAAAATTCTAACCGTAATATTTACCGGCGAATCGGAAAGAAAACAGACAAGATGGGTCGTATCTTTTGCTCCTTTTCTCTAGATGAGAGATAAGACACTCTTTGACAACCTTTGAGAAGTTTGTCCCATGAAGCGTATTACGTCATTTGGTGAAATCCGCCGGACTTCGCGTGGGACGAAGCAATTCTAATGGGACGTATTTTTAGTACGTCGAACACGCTACACGATGTATTCCAGCGGAATACAAGGTTCCGCTCTCATCCCCGGCGATAGCGGGATAAGCGAGTCGAATCGCGCCGACATAACTTCCGTGCGAGCGAGTCGTAGAAATCACGCCCACGAGAGGCGCTCATCGCAACGGTGTTCACCGTTATCATTTTTATTTCCGTGCGCAATTCCCCAGCACCCCGGCCACGCTCAAGGAGATAAAGTACGAACGAAGGAATGAGCGAGCGAGCGAACGAACGAACGTATGAGCGTGCAAACGGACGTTTCAGGAACAGCGCGATGTGGGAATTTACTGACCGGCGACGTCGGGCACAGACTGATATTGTCGTAAGGACGGATCGTAAAGCAGCGAGAGCGTTACTTATTGTCCGACCGATACGAGAAGTCTCTCCTCTCTTGCTCCCCCCCCCTCCCTCTCTCTCTCTCTCTCTCTCTCTCTCTCTCTCTCTCTCTCTCTCTCTCTCTCTCTCTCTCTCTCTCTCCCTCAGGCTGAGGTAACAACTTTGTTTTCCTATAGATCGCGAGTCGACATCACTTGCCTCGCCGCCAATATAATATAAAGTCTCAAGACACGCGTCTCGAACGTGTCGGTGACATTTAAAGGGGAGAATTGCGCGAGCGCGCAATATCGTGTCCTGCAGTTGAAATATTATTTCGCGCACAGAGCCACCGCAAGTTCTCCTCTCCCCCCCCCTCCCCCGCCGCCCTTAATCGCCTCTTTCGTCGATTCGCAGTTGATTCTTCCGCAATGAGGAAGAATACCGCGATGAAATCCGGTGCGATTTCATCGCGCCGCTCTCTGTGGTCGTGGTGGAGTGAAATTGCGAAGAGAGGAAAAGGACATTGCGAAGAACTAACGAAAATTGCGCAAAAACCGCGCGATATGTGTGACTCTCATTGTCATCGCCGTAATTTAGTGCGCTGTTTGCGGTGTGATATTGTGTTTAATTATCTCAGTAGGAGGATTGCTTTGACACGTAGCTGTCGTAGCGGAAATTGCTGTTTCTCTTGGCAAACGAGGATTTAGAGAGAGAGAGAGAGAGAGAGAGAGAGAGAGAGAGAGAGAGAGAGAGAGGGAGAAAGATAGGGGAGGAAAAGGGAGGAGAGAAAGAGAGAAGAGAGAACGCTTTTCCCTTTCTGTTATTAAATGAAGTAGAAAAATGCACCGCTCCCCCTTTTGCTTATTTTCGCACTAATCGATAATGTTTACCGTCCACCAACCAAGCAACGGCAGCAGACAAAGGGGCAGCCTCCGCAAGATCTCGAAGTGCAAGGTGGAAGTTTGCGCGTGTTGAAATTAAAGATAGAAAGAAGAGCCGGCGCGCACACATCCATCCCGTCTCTCTCTCTCTCTCTCTCTCTCTCTCTCTCTCTCTCTCTCTCTCTCTCTCTCTCTCTCTCTCTCTCTCTCTCTCTCTCTCTCTCGTTATCGCGCTCCAGCGTTATTACCGGAAAATTATCGTGGAAACGCAAACGCGTCATCTTCCGCGGCACTGACTAAGCGCCGCCCCAAGTGCCGTCTGCTGCCAATTGATCGGCGGCGAGGCGGTCAATTGACGCGGGATAGAACCGCGAGAAGATACCTCATCCGAGTTAACGATCGCATTAATCATTCCCCCGTATTCGCGTTACTTCGCGTACCGCGGAACCGATTACTCTCAAAGACGGAGCGATGCTCAAGCCGCTCGACTTTAACGCGACTTCGACTTCGCGTCTTCCTTTTCGCCTGTATCGCAGCAGAAAAAAAGAGAAGGGGAGAAAAAAAGAGGAAAGGAAACACGCACGAGAGAAGGAGAGATAGCGGAAGACAGCACGAACAGCACAGCGCGCGGGCAGATTGCGATCGCCAATTGGAATCTCAGATCGAATCTCGCGATCGGACCGCGAAACTTCCGCGTGACACGACGGGGATCGCGCGATTGATTGCGATATCGCGCGGCAAAGGTGCGAATCTTGCTGTTCGATTTCCGATTCCAATCCCCGGCCCATAATCCGCGCGGTCTGATCCGAGGTTTATCAGCTTTAATCTGAAAATCGTTCTCGCGCGACGGTCAGGATCGCTGCCGGCGCAGGACGGCGCGGCGGCGCATGCATCGGCGGGGCGTTTCGCATCGTTGTCGCTGATACAATCGTGAAATTTCACAATTAACACGAACGCGGAAATCGTAAGCGCTTCAAACGCTGCGAA